CTACCTAAAAATAACTCAAGAGAGTGAACTAATAAGAAAATTTAGCCAAGTGTTGGGATTCAAGAGACAAATATTTCAAATACATAGCAGACAAATAATTTATATCCAGAATATACATAAAGAACTCCTGGAAACAAATCAGAAAAAGAAAATTCAATAGAAGACAAGCAAAAAGCCTGTTCAAGAAACTCAGAAAAAGGGAAACAGGGTTGGTCAACACGTTTATGAAAAAATGATCAATCTCATTAGCAATCAAGTAAGGACTAGACAAGAAAAGATCTTCACCCAACAACCAGGTGCAGTTTTAAAGTCTGAGAATATCAAGTCTGGTAACATCACGGGGAAACGGCTACTAACCCGCAGTTGGTGTGAATATACATTTGCACAGTCTTTTGGGAAAACTGTTCCCAGTATCTATTACAATTTTCAGTGCTTATACCCTTAATCCACATATCATTGTTTTAATAATGAAAAATTCCAATGTCTGTCACTATACAATTGTTAAATAAATTACAGTACATCTATTGTAGAGAATACTATAGTACAGGTAAAAATAGTGAGTCAAATCTACAAATACTCATATGAAAAGCTCTCCTAAATCTACTGTTAAATGCAAAAAAAAAAAAAGTTAAGTTGCAGCAATGACATCGAATCAGATCTATCTCTCGAATGATACCCTCCACCTTGACAGACTCTGAAGTGAGGTCTGCAGTTGAAGTAGATAAGGAAGACCGGTTTATTTGTCTTTGTTTGTATTGTTTGTTTGCTAGCATGGTTTGTTTGTCTGTTTACAACAAGAATGTATTCAAGAAATAAGATGGTTATTTGTACACTAGTGTTCGTAGCATTACTCACAATAGCTAAAAGGTGAAAACATGTCCATTAATAGATGAATGAATAAACAAAACATAGTAGATACATACAATGGAATATTACTTAGCCTTCAAAAAGGGAGAGAATGCTATCACATGTTACAACATGAATGAACCTAGAAGACGTGCCCAGTGAATAAGCCAGACATCAAAAGACAAATTCTGCATGATTCTATTCATATGAGGCACCTAGAGTGGTCAAAATCACAGAAACAGAAGATAGAATGGCAGTTACCAGGGGCTGGAGGGAGAGGGAAATGTGGAGTTAGTGTTTACTGGGTACAGAGTTCCTGTTTGGGAGGATAAAAAAGTTTTGGAGCTGGATGGCAGTGATGGTTGAACAACAATGTGAATATATTTAATGCCACTAAACAGTATACTTACAAGCAGTTAAAATGGTAAGTTTTATCTTATATATACTTTACCAAACTTTTTAAAATGTCAAATAAAAATAATAAGACAAGCAATTGTAAAAAAAAAAATAATGATAATAAATAAAGTGGACTGAGCTGATGCTGAAGGATCCCTTTCCATTAAAATACTGGGCAATAAATTATCCCAAAAAATGTAAATATATAACCAAGCTCAAAATAAAGAATGGATAATACACAAGTACCAGAAACAAAGAGGGATCTACCATCCAGACACAAAAGCAGAAGCTGACATCAGGGAGGCCCAGGGAAGAGTCAGATGGATAAATGTTCCAGGGCTAGAGGCTGAACAGCGTTGTTGTTAACTCGGCCGACTCGGCCTCAGCCTGTGGAAGGTGAGGCACGAGAGGAGCGCCCCTTGTGGGACCCTTGAAGGGCTGCTCCATCCATAAAGAAACTTCAAACAAACAAACAACAACAACAAAAAAGCTCCTTTGGGAAAGTAGCAAAAAAGACCATCACAGACAGTGGGAAAGAAAAAATCACACGTGAGTAACTAAAACCCTAAGCCTGTGCCACCTGTGGGTGTGGGGTCTAAATTTACACCGGCTCTTGCAGAATGGAAACACAAAGCTGTCAACTTAGCATAGAAGATGTCCAAGATGGAGGAAACTCTCAGGCCCAGCAGAAACACAAGACCAGTCTCTAGAAGGGTATTTTCACAACCTGGTGGACACAAGATTCCCATAAAAAAAGAAAAGGGGGGTTGTTGTTGACCAAGATGAATTCACAATAAACAATGAAGAAAGAAGACCCATGAGGTGCAGATAACATGCGAGCATGGACACACACACACACGCCAGTATTAGCCCCTTCAAGAACTAGAGATGCCAGAACAGCCGGGAAGTGCCCATGAAACATATGTTTCAATGACCAAGATCAAAGATGGACTGTTAAACATAATTAAGAAGAAAGAAGGTTGGCTCCATTTGGAACTTATAGAACATGAAGAGGTTTCAGGATGTCCAGAGAAAGGCAAGTAGGAGGCTCCTGAGAATTAGAGTGTGGCCGGGGAAGGTCTTGGCTGGAGATGGACTTGGGGGTCATCACCGAGGGTAGCTGTGACTGGCCAAGGCGTGGCCCATGAAAGGGGCGGTCTCTGGAGTGAGCCCTGCGTTTAAGGGCAGGGAGGTTGGAGGAGACAGGGGTTGAGCCCTGTCTCTACCACCAATTTTGATTGCAGCTTTTTCCAGACAGTGTGGTCAAAACTTCCTCTTCCCAGAAGAGCCCCCAGAGGCTCTTTCCTCAGGCCTGTCTTATTACCCTGTGGCCATGGCTAAGATGCTCTTCCTCTCTGCTGGGAGCTCTTAGGAGGGCAACAAGACTAGCCTGCTTGTCTCTATTTCCCCCCCACCTTGGGTTGAGCCCATGTCATGGCTCCATCAGTAACAGGTGGAAAGAATGGAATTGGTGGGTGTGTTCTGCTGGGTTGTGGGAATTCACATCATGAATCCGCAGGGGAATGGGACTCGGAAGGAGCCAGAAACACAGCTGGTTTCCTCTTCCTCACCCCCTTCTGCTCCCCATTGTGTACTGGTAGGAGACAGCATCAATTCTCAAACTCAGGTGAGGAACTGCCTCTAATTCAGCCTCTTGTGAGCACCATGAAGTGTTTGTTAGGACTGTCCTTGAGCAAGATCTTTCTCACTTCTTTCCCTCTTCTCGTGTTATGATGACCTGTCACTGAATGCACTTTGAAAACATCAACTCATTTAATGTTTACACCTTGTGTACTAGCCCCATTCTGCAGATGAAGAAACTGAGGCTCAGAGAGGTGATGTGACTTTCCTGGGTACAGAGCCACTGAGTGGCAGGGCCAACGTTCAAATCCAGACCTCTAGCCTCCAAAGCTGCTTTTTCAGCCTTTCCCATCGACCTCCCTCTGCTTCCTCCTCCCCTGCCCTCCCAGCTCGCACTGCTTCTCACTGCCATCTCCTTCGCTCAGACTTTGTCTGAGTCACAATTCTTCAGCAGCCAAGCGGGGGTTGGGATGGGAGGGGATGGCCAGATGCGTGGTGAGTATGAGTCTGGGTTTGTCTTTTCATAGCTACCAGGCAGGGTTCTGGGGAAGCATTTGGAGTCCATGACCCCTTCTCAGTCCTCTCTGAGTTCCTGGGGTGAAGCAAAGAGCAGACAAAAGGTCCATCTGCAGATGTGTCATGGTGAAGACTGGGGAATCATCTCTGGACTGGTCTTGGGGATCAGACTCAGAGCCCACCCTTTCTGTGAACATGACAGTGGCCCAGGAAGGCCTGGCCTTTTAAGACTCTGGACCTGACTTTGCAGGAGCTCAGAACTGCGCCTAATCTCAGTCAAATGTGGGAGGTAAAGCCCTGGTCTGGGAATCAGGAGACGAGAGATCTGAGTGTGATGCTGCCCCCAGCTTGGAGGACCTTGGACAAGATGTAGCTTCTCTGAGCCTTGGGTCCCTTGTTTGTAAAATGGAGCAGTCATCCCAGGCCTGTCCATTTCTTAGGATGGGCAGTCTGATCTGGGGAGGGCTCTGAACCAAGGAGGAAGGGATAGAGGAGGGGTGGTGAGAAAAGGAACAGGTGCCGGGGCCAGACAGCCACCAGCAAGGTGGCCAGCACCAGGACGGTCATTCTCTTGGCTGGGCCAGGACCGTCTCACTGAACACTTCCCGATAGGTAGCCTGGCTCAGACCATGACCGAGGAATGACAGGGACAAGAAAGGAAGGAAAGGAGGAGTGGAGGAAGAGGGAAAGTAGGAAGGGTGGTATATGGGGTGAGGAGGAGAGGTAGAAAAGGCTGGCCTCAGGGTAGCAGGGGCAGAGGCACCCTGATCCTGAGTAGGGTTTAGCCCTAGCTCTGCTCCTTCCTCCTGTGTGAACTTAATCAAGCACAGCCCTTCTCTGAGCCTCCAGTTCCCCATATGTCATCTCAGATTTTATGAGCTCCTTGGTTCCATCCTCCACTTGCCTTCTAAAGCCTGGCTCCATAGGTTCATTGTCAAGAATGCTACCTTAAGCCCCCTTCTCCTGCCTCCTTCTAAAATTCATGCCTCTCCCCTCTGGGTCCAACAACCAGGAGCTTAAGTCTGACCCTCTTACATTTTGACTTACACTGTGTTTACACATCACAAGATGGAAGCCTCAGTTAAATCACCTTCGGTCCCTCCTACTAAGCACTTACACATAGCAGGTGCTCAATGAACCTTCTGTTTATGATGCAAAATGGTCAACTGGACAGAAGGATGGCTGCCTAGAAGGATATACCAGCTTTGTCTGCTGATTAAGTTCCTGGTCAAAACTCTCCTCTGAATTAATCCCCAGGCACATACTCCTCCAACAACCAAAGGGAGGGACAACCCCAACAGCTGCCCATCCTCAAAGACTCCTCCAGTCGCAGATTCCAATGCCATAGGCCTGGCCATCCAAGGAGCTTGGACCCCGCCACCTGCCCTTAAGTACCCATGCTCCTAAGTGGTCATCCTATGAACAAAGAAAGCTCTGTTGAAGTATGTTAGAGCTTTTCTGCCACAGAAAACCCCAGGGACATCCCCATAAGGGTTCGTGAAGGTCACAGAATTCAGGGGTTGTAGACTCAAGGAGGAGAGTTCCCCAGACAGAAGGCTCTTCCTAGAAGACCTGCGTTCTAGCACGAAATTGCCAGCACTTCCACATCCCCTGCATTACACATACATACACACACAGTCAGGAGAGAAGCAGAACCTTACCTTGATGTTCCTCCAGTTTCCCCATGGTCTCCATCTGTTCCACCAGGTCATTTGAATTCCACTGGCTCATCCCGATGAGGATGGCGTTCTTCCCTTCAGCCATCTCCTCTGTGGGAAGAAGCAGAGCTGAGCATGAGCAGGCAGGGCTGTGTAGAGGAACCCCTAAGAGGAGCTTGTATCTCAAAAAGTGTTTATTTCTTCCTTTGAGTTGAGGTAGAGTTCAACTTTTAAAAGAGTCTGTAGGTACAGTCAGGGAGAAGACATTCAGGAACTCTTCGTCGCAAGAAGGCACTGTTGTTGTACCCTCCTGGGCCTCCACGTGTTACAGCAAAAGAGAGTAATGAGGAAACAGTCGTGAGAGAGGCTGAAAACTCACAGAAGGCTCCATTCCTAGCACTCTGAGTGGCATTTCTTGAAAAGCAGTGTGTCTGGAAAGAAAAAGCAAAGCCTTGCCACCTGGTAGCAGTTTTCCTTTGGGTAAGTTACTTGACTTCTCTGAGCCTCCTCTTCCCATCAGTCAGATAGGACTGGCAATGTCTAACTCACAGAGTTGTTGTGCAAATTAAATGAGATAATAAACATAAAGTTCTTGGTGCATAGATGACAGACATTAAGGTTACTCGTTCACATGAGAAATGGGTTGCCATCAGTATTTGAGCAGACCAGGGTTTGAGTGTAGCAGGAGCTCTACAGTAACTGGGAGAGAAGGCTTCTGTCTCTAAGTAAGCCTTGAGCTGTATGGAACCCTTAGCCCACATCTCAACCTTATGAACTTCTTAATGCCTCCATTCTCCTCCTGTTCTCCCCTCAGCCCTGTCTCTATCCTTGCCCTTTTTCAGTCTGAGCTTAGTGAAGGAGACTAAAGCATGAAATAGTTCAGTAACTTGCCCAAGGTCACTGGCTAGATCCAGGATTTAAACCCAGATATACTATTTCAAGAGTCTGCAAGGGATTGGTGAGACCATATTCTCTAAACACACTGAACACAAGCCCCTGGGTCCCGTACATCAACTACACACATCTGGTGCAGTCCCTCATCTCAGAAAGGGACATTTTCTCAGGCACAAACCCACAGGAATGCCTCCCCTCTCTCTATAAAGACTAAGACAGGCCTTCCTGATGAAGAACTTTGTGCCTTTTCTCATAGAACAGACACTAAAGGGTGGTGAGGAGAATCCCCAAGCTTATCCTAACCGATAATAAAGGGATAAGACCCATTTCACTCACTGCCAAAGATCTTTACAGAGCAGATGGAACCAATATGGTGGAGCTGAAGCTTGGGGGAGCTGTCCAGAGTTCTGAATCACTCGAGCTCAATCATCCAGACCCCATTTCCAGCTGGGACAGCTCCTCCTGCCTTCTTTGATTTACTTATTTTGATCTATTTAACAACATTTATCAGATCCTTAATAGGCACTGAGATCGTTGTAAGTCCTTTACAAATATTAATTCATTTAGTTCTCACAACAATACTAACAATGTACAATTATTATTACCTCAGTTTTATAAACAAGGAGACTGAAGCACGAAATAGTTCAGAAACTTGCCCAAGGTCACTGGCTAGAGCCAGGATTTAAACCCAGATACTATTTCAAGAGTCCTAAAGTCCTTCCCTGCTGGTGGCCTGCCCTGGACATCCTGTCTTGGCTGCCCAGCGCTCCAGCCAGCATCAGACACACTCCGATGACTTCCTAAGCCTGGTGTGTTCCGTCTGGGCACGGCTTACACCTCTAGGCAGCGTCATGTTCTGGGCAGAGCCCTGACTGGGTTCAAGTCCTGAGCTGCTACATGTGAGCCCATGCCTTTGCACATGTCCCTCAATTGTTCCTGTTTTTTTATCTCTTAAATGGAAGAATTCTGGTTTCCCAGCTCTTCCCTAGCAAGCTTTCATGAGGACAACAATATAATAAATTTGGAAAAGCTACTGAAGTCAAAATTCTACAAGCAAATATCAGGTAGTATTACTCTTGGGGGAGCAAAATCATCAAGGGGTTAAGAGTTCAATTCTGGTGTTAGATTGACTCCTTTCCATCCTGGATGTACTGACCTCGGACAGTAACTTACCCTTTATGAGCCTCAGTTTCCTCGACTATAATGTGATATCATACTAATGCCTGTGGAACAGGATTGCTGTGAGGACTAAATGAGATGTGAGATAATGAAGGTAAAGTGTCTAGAAGCATGACAAGCACACAGTAAGAACACGGATGTGGATAACAGTACATGAAGATGACGGTACCACCGCCGCCGCCACCACCACAGCATGCGGTGTTGTGGCCCCACACTCACGTTCAGTACCAGTCATGCTGCTGTCTGCCCCTGTGTCATTCTGTCTCAGCTCCAGAGTGGGGTCGTCAGGGTCACCTCGAATGACTGTGTACCCTGGCTCAGTTACCAAAGCATGCAGTCGTTTGCTTGTTCATTTAACATTCATTCTACAATGAATGGATTCCTGAGCACCTGCTGTGTGCAGTGTGAGACACAATTTCCATCCTGTCGGAATTCCATTTTGTGAAAAAAACACAATAGAAAATTGACACAATCAGATGAGTGAGCCGGGGCTCCTGGTCCAGTGCCAGGCATGCAGCAAGTGCTCACACATGCAAGTTTCCAGTTTTTCTGCAATGCACCATCCCTATGCCAGGGTGTATGCATGGCCATCAGAACCCCAGGCTCCCAGGGCTCTGCGGTCTGCGCGTGCCTACTTCTGCACAGCCCTCGGCATCTTTCCCCTCTTCCCAGTCATCCGCATGGCCCGCCTCCATCTTTCCCTCTTGGTCTTCTATCTTTCTAGGAAATGTGTCTCTGTCCTTGTCCCATTCAGACTAGGTGCCTTTCCATTGATCCTTGTGCTTCTCTGTCTCAGGCTCTCTGCCTCGTCTGCCTCTCCCTCTGGGCCTCGATCAAGCTCCCTTTCTCTTCGCTCTTGCTCTGTCTTTATCCCAGAACCTGCCTTTCTCCTCTCTCTTGGGGGGGGGGTCTCTTTCTTGATCTCTCTCCCTCTCTGGGTTTCTCCTTCTTTCTCTGGGTGCCTACCCCCGGGTCTCCCCATCCCTGCAGGCCTTTCTTACTCTCTCTGATGGCTGTCTCCTCCTAGGACACTGTCCCTCTTTCAGCTCTCTCTGGGTCTCTCCTGGTGTGCTTCCGTCTGTGTCTGTGTGTGTCTGTATCCCTCTCTCCCAGCCTCTTTGAGTCTTTCTTGCTCTCTCTCCCTCTCTGCTTTCTTGTGCTCTGTGCCCCCCACCCCCACCCCATCCCCATCTCTCCAGATGCTCCCCCGCCCCCTACCTCGAAGACAAGCTTCCTCTCCTGCTCTGGGCCGCTCCTCTGTCCCTGTTCTCAACACTCAGCCTTCAGATCTTCACTCTGGCTACAATGAACTTGTCCTGTGAATGGCAGTGGGCATGTGTGCACGCGCACACACGCACACATGGAAGCAGCAGTTGGGAAAGCCTGGCGCCTCAGTTCTGAGCCCTGCCCTCCTTCCCCTCAGCAGAGCACGCAAGGCCGCAAGGGCTTATTTGGATAATGTCCTGGTTATTGATTTTTGCTTTTCGACTTCTGGTGACTGTTCCCCACGTGCCAATTCTCAGCCCCGGTGACCTCTGGTGTGGACACAGTTTTGGCATCTGCTTCGTCCCTGCTGAGCCCCGGTCCCTGCCCGGTCCAGAGGCCAGGCTGAGCCTCACCCACCAGTACCACCACCCTGGCCTCGACCCCAGACCAACTCCGAGCCTGACCAGAGCCTGGATACACCCCCAGAAGCACCCTCTCCAGTGTCATAGGGAAAGCCTTTCTTCCTACCTTGGGGCCTCTGTGTCTGCTGGGCCCAAGGACTTCGGAACAGGGACCCCTGTCCCAGGCCAGGTAGGCTTCATCTCCAGCTCACGGAGCCGGGGGCTCGGTCACCTGCTGGCAGCTGGTCCAGTCCCTGCCATCTCTCTCCTTGCCTCGGGCCCACAAACCAGTCTTTCGAGGGACCTAGATACGCGTTGCTCTGGGACTCAAGATCGCTAAACTGCCCTGGCTGTTTAATGCATGCCCCATCCCCCTCCACGGCCAGCCCACCACCCTCTCTTCATCACATAGGGGGCCCTACTCGGCTCATTCCCAGAAGCCTTTGGGGCTGGCTCCTCTGCCTCTGCTTCTTCACTTCCCCTCTCCCGATGAGAGGGGGTCAGGGGTCAGCCACACACCTGTGCTTTGCTTCTGCAAGGGCTCTTTTGCCCAGCTGCCCACAGCGACATCCTCCACTCCACCCACAAGACAAAACCAGACCCCTACCGTGCTCCAGAGGAGGGACCCAGAGACAGCCTGAGGTCAGACAGTGGCCAGTCAGGGGCCCAACCGCGAGAAAACCTGGGTCCTCTGACCCCAGATGACCTGCAGCTTTCCCCTCCTCTCCCTCTCTTCCTTTGGGATTGGACCCCCCTTCCCACCCTGGAAGTTGGGTGATTGCAGTAAAAGCCCGGACAGGGGAGAGACCTAGGCTGTGCCCCTTACTCCGTATGAGACCCAACCCCACCTTAGAGCCTTTGTAAAGTGGGATGATTTATCCCCGCACCGTGAAAAATCAGGGAGTTAGAGCAACGAGCCACGTCTCCGTGAAACACGGTCCAGCTCCTTGGCCCCAGCCTCCTGACAGGTGGGGGAAGGGGAGGGTCAGCCAGTGCTGGTCACAGAGACAGAGAGAGAACGGAGGACACAGAACACATAGCAAAGGGCAGAAAGGCAGAAACTTCCAGTTTCCCACCCAGAACTTCCCTCTCCCCGCCGAGGGAGGGAGCCCCCCTGATCTGCTCTCTGGGGCCAGATGTGCCCTGAAAACAAACCCTGGCTCCACTCCCACCCCATTCCCATTCTCACCTCCAGCCCAGCCAGCTTGTCCCCCTGCAAGTGTCAGCGCCTGGCCTGCCATGCAAATTCACAGCTGGGAAAGGGGCTTGTAAATTAGATTTTGGGGGGAAGCCAAAAGAAAATAAATATTTCCCATGAAAGTCAGGAATGAGCCTGGGCGCTGTGGCCAACGAGGCCAACTAGGCGCCTCCTGGAAAGTTCAGAGCCAGAAGGAGCCTTCAAGGTCAGGTCCCCATCCTCATCTTCTAGACGCAGAGCCACACAGCTGGCCCAGGGTCACACAGCACCTCAGGCGCAGGGCTGGGCCAAGAATTCAGGTCTCCCGCCTGGGGGCTCAAGGCCTTTCCCATTTGACACTATCTTCCACAGGTCACGGTAAGAGCCTCGGTTTGTACCCAGACGTTTGGTGGCTTTTAAGACTCTCTAACTGGACGGCTTGTTGCACCTGAATAGAAGGTTAAAGTTAAGGATGCACTTCATATTTTCTAAATGGAGACATACATTTTGCTACAGAAACAGGTCATGAGCTTGACACAGCCCAGATAAATGTATCTGATGCCATCGTAGCCCCAACCTGCATCCTTCTAGGCATGGTGATGCCCAAAGAGATTTTCGTTTTCTCTCTAGAATTCAGCATTTCATGGCGAGAGACCAGATGAAATCTGGGCTGTCCCTCCTTGGTCTACTGAGTTCTTCTTACGCATGGTTTCTGGCCAGACCACCTGTCACCCAGCAATTTTCATCACCTGCAGTGAAAGCTCATTCACTCAAGGTCTGGGCATGTTTTGATTTTACAGGTCCATCCTGCACCAGAGATTCTCAGTTCTGAGTCTCTGGCCTCCTGGAACGGGGGCAGGGGGACCCAGGGTCACCGCAGAGCCTGGGCAGGGAAGCAGAGCTGGAGGCTACTGGGTCAGGCCCGTGCTCCACTGCTCACGCTCAACACACCGGCCTTCCTACCTACTCCTCCCATAAAAGCTTTGCACTGGCTGTTCCCACTGTCCAGAACACTGTTCCCCCAGATCCTCACACAGCTCATTTCTTTTTATTCAGCTCTCAGCTCAGGGCCACATCCTTTGGGGGCCTCCTCCTCACCCAGTCACTCTATCACAGACCATTATAGTATACCAGGAGGAGAATCTCCATTTTAACTTCATAGCATTCCGGAGCTATAACTGACATTCAATAAACTACACATATTTAAAACATTTTGACACTTAAATGTTGATAGGTTGTGACACACGTGCACACCCATGAAGCCATCAGCCCAGGCAAGACAGCGGTCACCTATCCGTCGCCCTGGGAAATTTCCCCTTGTCCTTGTGATCCCTCCCTCCCACCTACCAGGCAACCACGGATCCATTCTGGTCGCTACAGGCTCGTCCGCGCTTTCTAGAGTTTTCTACAAATGGAATCATAGTGTGCCCTCTTTCTCAGCCTGACTCCTTTCACTCAGCATGATTACTTTGAGATTCATCCCCATTGCTGTGGGGATCAGTTCATTCCTCCTTATCGCTGAGTGCTGTTTCGCGAATACTGAGGCCCCACAATTTGTTTATTATTCACCCATTGGTGGACATTTGAGTTGTTGTCACTTTGGGGCTATCGTCAAGAAAGCGGCTAAGGGACACGTCTTTAAGAGGACATACGTTTTCTTTCCTCTTGGGTAAACACCTAGAGTGGAAAGGTAGTTAACTGTGACTAACTTTTTAAGAAGCTGCGATCTGTTTTCCAAAGCGTCTGTCCCACTGGACATCCCCGCCAACAGAGTGTGAGACTCCCAGTTCCTCCACATCCTGGCCAGTTGTCTCAAACAGCCATTCTAAAAAGAATGAGGTGGCATCTCATTATGCATTTGGTTTGCGTTTCCCTAATGACTAATGGCGCTGAGCGAGTTTTCATTGTTCGCCGTTCCTCTACCTTCTTTGGCAAGGCGTCTGTTCCTTTGTGTTGTTTGCTTCGTGGAAATGATTGATAGGACTCACTTGCTTATACACTGTCTTCCCACCCATCACCACTCAACTAAGCTCCATGGGGGCCAGGACAGGGTCCACTTGCCCCATGTCCCCTACACCTAGAACAGTGCCTGGTACCTGATGGACAGACGCTCAGTAAATGCTGGAAAGAATGAATGAATGAGTCTGAATTCTGCTCTGCCTGATTCTTTGGTGACCCTGAACAGTTTCCCAGTTCTCCAGCCTCAGTTTCCCAGGCTATCAAGTGGGGTGGGAGTGTTGAACTCAAGACCTTGAGGGCCCCCCAGCTCTGCCATGGTCTGGGCTTGAGGACTGTCCCCTCTTGGTCACCCTGGGTTTCCCGTCACTCTGCAATCCAGCCTTGCTAGACTGGGCCGTGACTCCCCAGATAGCCTTTAACTGTACTGACAGGACGGAGCATGGCACCCCTGCTGAGTCTGGGGGCCTAGACTCCATCACTCACCCTGCAGCATCCAGTCAGGGGCACCAGCCACCTGGAGGCCCCAAGCCTGCTGCCATGGCCCAGGAAGCTGGCATCTTGCCCAGGGTTGTATTGGACCCAGATAGCACCATCCTCCTGCCTGACTGCCCCCAAGTCCCTTCCGTGCCTTGCAGATACACCCAGAGCCCCCCAGAGCGTAAGAGTTCCCCTCTGCACCAGACCATGAGCTATGAGAGTCTCATATGCCACCAGGTAGACCGCGGTGCTGGGCCAATGGGCTGGAGCTTAAGGAAGAGAGGGAGGGAGGAGGGTCCCAGTTTCAGTAATATGTCAAAGAAAAAGGCCTGTCCTGGACACTAAGCTCCCGGGTTCCAGTCCCTCTGCCCCAGCCTTGATATGTGATCTTTGGAGGTCCCTTCCATGATCTGGCCTCTATTTCTGACACCCAGCCAGGTGGTTCCACCATGACTGGAGGTAGCAGGATACAGGTGGGGTCAGAGCTGACACGCAGGTTAGGGTCAGGCCTCAGTCCAGCTAGAGAACAAAAATGGGAGGTGACCCTTCAGAGCTTGCCCAGAAATCGGACACCCGCAGCCTGGCCCCAGATGCTGAGAGAGCTGGCCGGGTTGGGCCTGGGCCAGTTCCTAGGAGCAGAGCAGGAGGATGGCTTCACCTCTTATTGCTCAGAGCCAAGGAAATAGGCAAAGGTCTTGTCCAGAGAAACCGCATGGAACAGACAGGAGGTGAGGAGTTGGCAACTCAGAACTAAAGGTTCCAGCAGCCTGTGGGCGGATCGTGTGGCTGAGAACTACAGATGCTCTGAGAGAGGTGATGTAGGAGGTGGGGAGCAGAGATGCGAGGTTCAGAGGTCCAGTAGGGAGTGCTGAGAGGTGGAAGGCAGGGCAAAGGACGAGAGAGTCTGGGATCCTGGGACAGCGGATGGGAGGAAAGACAGAAGTGAGATGAGGCCAAGCGAGAGAAGAGAAAGTGGGGCACCATTAGAGAGGAGCGAGAGACGAGGCCAATTTGGGAACTGCAGACAGAGTGGTGAGATCGTGGGAGTGGAGGACCGAAAGCCGAGGGTCCGCAGGGAGGGGAGCGGGTTGTATCCACAGCTGCCCGAAAGGAAAGCTGCCACCTGGCGCCTCGGGCCGGAGCTGGAGCTGACCTGCACCTCCCGCAGCTGCCTCCTGCAGCGACCCACCCTCGTCATCTGGGAATGCGGAGCCCTGCTGAACTGCAAAAATATTTTAAATGAAAGTGTTCTAAGCGTCAAAATACTGAAGCCGTTGTTGTCACACTGTGGGTTAGTTGCTATGGAGGAAGTCAGCCCCGGCTGCCACTCCAATCAGACGCCAATCTGAGACAGGAAATAAGCCCCAAATGGGCTGGTTTAGGGCTGGCATCAGGGAAGGGGTTCTCCGCCCAGAGCCAAGAATGGAGGAGGCGCAGCCTGGAACAGCATCCCGCCGCCCCTCTGTGCTTCCCTGAAGTCATTTAAATTGGATCTAATCTCCACTCCCGGAGGCACAGAGCTAATAGGGAAATTGAGGCCCAGAGATGGAGAGAGACTTGCCCAAGATCACAACAAAAGTCAATGGCATGGCTGAGGCCCTGTCCCAAGTGGCCTGTTCTGGGTCCAGATGTCTTCCCAGCCTATGGGCTGTTTCTCTTTAAAGACCCCATTCAGCCAGGCATTTCAAAGCTGGCCCCCTGTCAAGAGTAAGTCGACCCCCCAGATACGATGACTTCTCAGAGTAAGTGAGAACTGGAGGCCCTCCTGGGCTGGGGAGGAGGCCATTGGTGCGTCTCAGCCGCCCCCACACTGCCCAGGCAAGCAAGGCTGTGAGGGTCCTCTCTCCCAGCAGACCCCATCTCCCACAGGTCCCCCCCACCTGCCTTGCAGCTCCTCATCTCTGAGCCTTTGCTTAGTTTGATCTCTCTGCCTGACATGCCCACCTTCTCCAAGGTTTGGTGCCTTCTTCTCCAATTCTTACAATGCTTCCTGTTTTTCCATCCTCACTTAGATAGTGCCTCATGCTGTGTCTGCGTACTGGTGATGCACCCAGCGCTGGGAAGCAACACTGATATCCTCGCCCTCCATCATACCTCACCTGAACATCTGCAATAATCTTTCTAACTGGTCCCCACCTCCACTCCAGCTCCCCCTCCCATCTACGGGCTGATCTTGTAAGTCGCCTCCTGGGTCCCACGAGGCTTCATCTCTCCTCTCCCCCACCACGTGGGTCTCCTTCAGTCCTGGAAAGCCGCATCTTTCCTGTCTCCACAACATCCTGTCTGCTGTGTCTAAGGCTCTCTCTCCCACTCTTCATCTAGCCCACTCCTATCCTCGGTTCTGCAGAGATGTTAACGACCTCCCTGCCCAAAATTAGGTACCCCCATCCTCACTCTTTCTATTGACACCTGGTGCTTTTGACTCAAAAGTATTACTCCCCATTCGTGATTGTATTTCCCTTTGTGTAATTGATGTTCGCTTCTCACACTAGACTATAAGCCGGGTGAGGGCAGTGACCATGCCTATTTTTTTTTACTAGAGTATATTAGGAACTCAGCAAATATCTGAAAGAGTGAATGAATGGATGCTGATCCCCAGCCACTGGGGAATGCACAGACTGTGAAATTATGAAATGTGGAACTACAGTGTCTTAATGGAGAGATATTAACTCCCAACAGAGATCCCCTTCGTGGGGCTTCTAAAAAGGTCACCCAGCCAATGATGGCCGGATGGGATTCACTCACCTCTAGCATCAAAGAATTCATCATCAGAACTCTCCACTGAGTCGCTGAGGACATTTCGAAGGTGCCAGGGGGCACCACCGCCCGGGGGAGGGCCACCTGTCAAAAGAAACACACCCGTTAGCCAGGCTTGAGACTGTGTCCTAGCATGAAGGAGGTAAACCCAGACCGCCCCTGGACCAAGGTTTAGTCAGCGTCCTGCACGTCCCTGCCCTCTCCTCAGCACCTCACAGGGTCCTCCCACTACTGTGCTTTCATTTAAACCCCAGATACCTCTCTGAGATAGCTCAGCGGGGCAGGAATGAGTGTGCCCATTTTGCACACACCAAAACTGAGGCCGGAGATAGTAAAGAGATGTTGCCAAGGGGACACAGTGCATCAGGAAGCATCAGATAGATTTTGCTATGTTAATAAATGATCTTAAAACTGCTCAAAACAACAGCAGTTCATTTCTCACTCACACCCCGGTTGGAAGGGGACCCTGGCTATGGCAGTCACTCAAAGCTGCCACTGCTGCATGTTACCAACTCAAAAAGAGACATCAAGGTCGCCTGGAGCAGGCGAGAAGAAGGCAGAAAGTCACGCCCAGTCATGAAGGCGTCTTCCTACGCTCAACAAGTTTCTGTGCACACGTCATTGGCCAAAGCAAGTCACGTGGCCACACCTGACTTCAGGAGGGTGGAGGAGGGGAGAAGCAGATATCCTGACAGGCACTGGTGATATTTGCTGCACACAGCACGTGCAGCCCAGGCCAGGACTGCGACCTCCCCTGGGGAAGAAGTCCCAAACTAAGGGGGACTTGAGCTTGAGTTCTGCCCTGTCTCTGCCACTTACAACCTGCGCAGCCATTCCCTCTCCAGCCCGAAGCCTCAGTTTCCCCATCTATACAATATTGACAAGCATCAATTCCAAGCTTGAAGGATCAGAAGTAGTGCGTGCTCAGCACCTGTATCTTAGGAGGCTCAGTAATAGCCACTATTGTTTTTAAATATTTTATTGAGGTATAGTCAGTTTACAATGTTTTGTCAATTTCTGGTGTACAGCATAATGTTTCAGCCATATAGGAACATACATATATTCATTTTCATATTCTTTTTCATTAGCAGAGGTCAGGACGTGGGGCTGAGGGGTTATCTGGAGCAGGCAGGAGTTGATAAACACAGAGAACATGGCCCCTTGCCCTGAACTCAGCCCCAGGCCACCTCCTGCCCTGGGACCTAGGGGATGAAGGCCAGAGACAGAGCTGGGTCAGAAGCCTCTGTCCCTGCCCTCCATTCTCTGAGCCATTTTTACTGGACACTTGGGGACTCTCTTGGAACCAGCTGGTGTCCAGCACATCAGGAAACCCCTCCTCCTGCTCCCTAGACATGGGGAATATTAGTGATCGCAGATGGATTCCAATCTAATCATAAAAATTAAAACCATAAAAGTGTTCGAAGAAAATTGACCTCGTAATTTTCCCAAGGAAATAATCAGAGAAGTACACAAAGATGGAAATATATAGTTGGTCATCTCAGTGTTCTGGTAACACCAACGAATTGGAAGAAATCCCGGTGTCCTTCCACAAGGAAAGAGACATACATACATATACAGTCACAAAGAGAAATCCTTGCAACTGGTAGAAAAATAATGTAGCCCTTTACGTACTGATAAGGAAAGATGCCCACGGAGGATGGTTAGGAGAAAAAAAATGCACGTGGGTCCCAGAGCAGCATGTTTCTTCTGACCCCATTTTTGAAAGGTACTCTTATACCATACACACATCACATTAGTAAAGAGCTCAGGCTTGTAGGCTGAAGAGGCCTGGATTCAAGCTCAGGCTCTCGCCTCTTAGAAGCTGTGTGATGTCAGATGAGTCCTGTCACCTCTCTGTGCCTCTGTTTCCTCAGCTAAAGAGGACAGCTCCTACCTGCCACATGAGCTTACTGTAAAGATGAAATAAAATGCATCAAAGCGCTTAGCCCAGGGCCCAGAATATAGCAAGTGCCCACAACAATAATTATTACGGTAGGGGAGGGTAGAGCTCACTGGTAGAGCACATGCTCAGCATGCTTGTGGCCCTGGGTTCAATGCCCAGTACCTCCATTTAAAAAATAAGAAA